CTGCGACTGCGACTGCGACTGCGACTGCGACTGCGGCGGTGGCTGCATATGCGGCAGGGAATGCATATGCGGCTGCGGCTGCTGCGGCTGCTGCTCGACCATCATCTGACGCGGGAGGTATGCCCCAGGAACTGGGGGGTAGTGCTGCTGCATGGACACAGGAGGATACTGCGGATGAGGGAAGGACTGCGGAGGCGCCAACAACGTGTGGTGGTGAGCATGGGGATGGTGCGCCGGCAGGAAGGCCCCCTGCTGAGCATGGTGGGGCATAGCTGGGTAGCCGGGCTGGGGCGGCAGCAGAACCAGATGAGAGTGCTGTCCGGGGTACGGATGGAGCAACAGTTGCTGCTGCTGCTGCTGCTGTTGCTGCTGGGACTGCGACTGCGGCTGCGGCTGCGGCTGCGGCTGGGATGGTGGCTGCTGGTAAGTCGAGTGGAACATGTGCTGCTGGCCGCGGCCGGTGGTCGGTGGGGCAAACCCGGCCCCCGGGTGGCCCTGACCGGAGAGCGGGGCAAATGCCCCGCCAGTCGGGTGCGGCCTCACGGGGTGATGCGTGTCCGGCCCGGCCACTGGTGGCCGAGCATGGTGGTGCTGTGCCGCGAGCGGCCGAACTCCTGGGACCCCGGGACCGGGAGCCATGTGCTCGGCAGCCGCCGGGGCCGGTGAGGGGGTGCGGCCATGGCCACCGGCACGCTCAGCAGCACGCTCGGCGGCCCTGTTGCGCCTGTTGCGCTGCTTGCCGGAGGGAGGCGCCGATCCGCCGGGCGCAGGGGACGCCTGCTTCGGCGAGTCGGCCACCACCGGAGTGGCGGCGCCCTTGCCCTTGGCCGGCTTGTCCTTGCGGGGCTGCGACTGCGACTGCGACTGCGACTGCGACTGCGACTGCGACTGCGACTGCGACTGCGACTGCGACTGCGACTGCGGGGATTGGCCGGCATGGGCACCGGTGTCGGGGCGGCCCTGCTTGTCCTTCCGACCGGAACGAGAGCCTCCGGCCTTTGGGCCCTTTTCGGGCCTGTCGGGCTTTTCAGCCTTATCAGCCTTATCGGCCTTTTGGGAGGTGGGGGCGGGAGAATCCGGGGTTGGAGACGAGTGCGCCTGCTGCTGGCGCTGCTTGCGTGAAGCCTTTGGCTGCTGGCCCTGCTGCTGGCCCTGCTGCTGATTCTGCGGCTGGCTCTGGGGCTGGCTCGGTTTGCCAGCGGCAGAGGAGCCGGCCTGGCCGCGGGACTTGCCCTGCTTGCCGCCAGGCGAAGGGCCACCAGCCTTCGCAGGGGCATCCTTCGCAGAGCGAGACCCCTTACCACCGGAAGGGCCCCTGCCAGCGGCATCCGCAGGGGAGACACCCGGGACGGTGGAAGGGGAAGAGGCGGCGGCCGCGGCCGCGGCCGCGGCACTGGTGCTCGTTGTCCGGCGCGCGGAGAAGGCCAGACCGACGGTTGGCTCGCCGGTCCCCGGGGCCGGGGACATGCCAGAGCCCTTGCCCCCACGGGGGGCATGGCTCTTGCCGCCGGCCGAGCTCGCGGCAGGAGCCGCAGCAGGCGCCTTCGGGCGGGCTGTCGATCCCGTGCTTCCGGCCTTGGGCGCGGCGGCAGGGGGAGTAGGTTGCATGACGGAAACGGGTCTCTCCCGGGTCGGGTGAGGGGAGGGGGGCTGGGTGATGCTCAAGCTGGGAGAAGGGGAAGGGGGAGAATGAAAGGTCTATGACACAAGGACAGGGCCAGGTCGCTCGCTGCTTTTGGGA